GGGGGGGGGGCAGTTGGGGGTGATCAGGCCGGGAAGGGGAGGACAGTTGGGGGCAAGCAGACTGGCAGGCAGAGTGGTTAAGGGTGATTAAGGAGGCAGGCAGGTGAGCGGTTAGGAGCCAGCGGTCCCGGATTGTGAGAGGGATGTCCGACTGCCAGTTTAGGCCCGATCAGACATAGGGATCGGGCCTCAACTGGCAGTCAGACATCCCCCAACGGGTCCCAGATTGGAGAGGGTGCAGACTGGGCTGAGGGACACACACCCCCGTGCACGAATTTCGTGCACCGGGCCACTAGTCCTATATAATAAAAGGTTAATATGCAAATTGTCCCCACAGGCGGGAGTTCAACGGACCGGGAGTTAGACATGCACTGGCCACCAGGGGGCGGCGTGGAACATGGCGGGCATTGGCGACGTGGCGCTGGCAGCGGGCGGCAATGGAGGCGCTGCTGGCTCCAATGGGCCCCAATGAGAGTGGAACCTCGGCGGGATGGTGGAGCAGGTGAGCAGGTGGAGCCAGGCCAAAGCGGTTGTGAGTGGGGGCCCCAATTGCCTCACCGGTCGCCCTACAGATCGGCCCTGATCACTGGCCAGGCCTAGGGACCCTACCTATGCATGAATTTCATGCACCGGGCCTCTAGTATATGTTATATAAACCTTCACTTAAGTCATTTTTTATAACAAATTTACTAGGCTAAACACCATATAATGATAGCAGCAACTCACATAATACTTACTGCTTACCAGGCACTATTCTAAATGCTTTAGGAATACTCTTAATCTTAAAACAAACCACAGTACAGAGAGGTTAAGTAACTTGCTCACGGTTAAACAGTGAGTACACAGCAGAGCTGGAATCTAAACCAGTGCAGCATGGCATTACACTGCCTCTCAACAAGGAGCCCAGGTTCGGTTCCCATATTCACCACTTGGTAGTTGTATAATCTCGGACACGTCATTTAGCATCTGTATTTGCTTTCTCAAATGGGGATAATAACAGCTGCCCTGCCTAACTGCCTAGCACTTAGTCTATGCTCAATAAATATTTGTGGAATGTTAACTCAAATGAGATAACTGAGAATGCATTTTAAAACCATAAATTGCTACAAAGGCCATATCATTATTCTTGTTATGTAAAGTTTTGAGGCTAGCTTCAGATTAAAAGAGACTTGCAAACCCAAGACCAACTATGGCTCTCTGTCATTCCAGGAGATTGAAATACTAGAAAGCAAGAAATGAACAAGAACTCAAGTTTTTTATATCATATGTTATATAAGCCTTCGCTTAAGTAATCTTTTTATAAAACAAATTCTAGGACCAAAAATAGTATTTTATACAACAGTTATAAGTAGTAGAAAGGAAAGCTGTGATATTTTTTGTTAAAATAATGAGTTCATAATGGCAACTATAGTCTATTTAAATTGATAGAATGAAAAAATGGCTGTTGAACACTCCAAGAAGTACAATAAACAAAAGAAAACCTGTCTAGATCAAAATCAGTTTCTTATTTGACACAGTTCACAGCAGCCCCTAGGGCATCCCAGTCCATACTCTGAACCAAATCTGGATACAGGGCATTTTCAACCTGGCCTGGATTGGCCAGGAAGAAGGAAGAGCAAAGGGAGCATTTACAATTTTAATCTCACTTCCTGCCCTTGATTTTGGCACCATGGTGGCCTTTGGACTGGTGGTGACCCAATGGCATGTTTATGTCATTGAGTCACTTACTGTCTTTATTTGTTCATTGAACACATTTTTATGTTCCAAATGTAATGTAACATATACTTTGTAGCTCCAGTGACACTTAAATTCATCCTTGATTGCTGTACTGGGGGGAAAAGTGAGGGCATGTGTAGAAATGCCTTAAACTTTTAGACTAATTAATATTAAAAGCACATGAAGACATTTTAATTTTACTGTATACTGAAAATTTGCTAAGAGAATAGGTCTCAGGAGTTCTCACCACACATTCACAAAAAGGTAAATATGTGAGGAGATGGATATGTTAATTAGCTGGTTGTAGTAATCATGTCACTATGTATATGTATATTGAAACATGTTGTACACCTTGTAATATATGTAATCTTAAAAAATAAAATGAACAAAAATTTAGGAAGAAGAGCCAAATTAAAACACAATGGGGGGGGGGGCAGGAAAGCAAAATAGGCTGATGAATTTAAATAATCCCTTAGGCTATAACTTCCTGTCTTTACCAAGTGTCAGATTGTACAGGGCGCATAATCTATAGCCATCGACCAAATAAATCAATATTTTTATGCACCAATTATTTTAATGTATATTGTTTATATTTGTAAACCTGGATACCTGTTACTATTTGCTAAGTATATCTGTATGAGAGGAAAAGCTACATATAAAGAGAAATATAAAAATAAATATGACTAATCCTATTGTACCCCATTTAAGTCATACCTTTTTCCAATCCAAAATAATAAAACAGCTGTATTAAAGCTGACAGGTTATCAAAAGGTCTTTCAGATTACAAAGTAAATCAATATTGGATTTTTTAAAAAGATGAACATGGCATACTTTTAAAATTAGTATGATTAAGGAAAATGAGTGTACATTCAATTTTTCAGTACTGCTTTTTTAATAGATAGCACAATATACCTAAATTTCACTTATCATTTTTTTCCTCATTCATTCCACTTTTATCTAAAAAACTGTGCAAGTCTACTAATTGAAAAACCATTTCTTAATTCTATATTCTTTCATATTTTCTCTTTTATTCCTTTCACAGCTAAGGCCTTTAAAAGAAAAGCTTCTAAGTGGTTTCTTTTTAAGCTGTGGACATAGATTCATACGAAGTATCCTGCTTCTGTTTTGTATTAGTTGCTGGAAAGCTCTTGATCAAATTTGTGGCCCATGTCTAATAAATGTTTATACCTCACTGTACACATTTTGGGAACATTTTGAGACTTTACCATACTTTGTCTTATTTTTCTTATTTTTCCATTAGCCCTCTCTAATGTTATATGTATTTTTGGAAGCTCCACCAAATCATTTTGGACAAAAATTGAGGATTAAACACATATTCATGCATGCAATTTTTTTTAAGTAAGCAAAGATGCATTCATTGTAGCAAAGGCCCACTTACTCAAAGAAAGAGTATATTTTTATTCTCCCTCTACTATTAAAATGGCAATAAAAATATAAATTCTGCATAGCACATCAAAATAGGTGGAAGTGGCTCTAATTCATTCTGATTAGGGCTCCCAGGAGAGGAGAAACCACAGAAAGTACAGGCAGTTTTAGTCTTCATGTTGGAGGAGAGTGCCCACCTGTTCAGGCTCACTGGTGACCTACAAAAGATATTTAGTTTCTTCATGCCTTCTTTGTATGAGATGGGGTTGGTATGAATAGAATTATTATGCACTTTGTAACGAAGGGTTTTGAGTAACAAAAGGGTTCTGTTATTTATGCTGAGCAATTTATTTTGTCATTTTTATAGTACATTATAATTATAATATTACAATGTATACTCTCACAAATCTGACTAACAGGTATTTCCAGCCATTCACTCAGGTTAAAGGGTAGGTTTCTGTCTGGTTAGAATATAAGTGGTTCTAATTCTCAAAGCAGTGAATCCCACTCTATGGGGATATAAGGCCATTTTAGGTCAAAACCTTATAATATGCAAAACAAAATGTCTGAGTCATGCCCATGAAATGCTGAAGTTGCTAGATAAATTCTAAGGATCTTCCTTGTTTTAAAAATTAAAGATTTTAAAAGTAAACATTTTTATACAAAAATAAGTAAATAAAAGAGTCACATTGTCTACGTAGGATGGCTAAAAATTTCTTTTTCCCCCCAGCATTCAATTTGCGTGCTTATAAAAAGCTCTGTGATTGCATTGCCTAGCGACTCTATTTACAGGCCTTAAAAGTCTGCAATTAGCAGATTGAATAGCATTGTAGGCAGGTCCTCGCCAAGATGGTAAAGATTACTGAGATGCAATATTCCTTTTTAGAATGAATAATAAACCTTTATATAGCCATCAAACCCAGTTCAGGCTGCAGAATAAATAACATTAAAAAATTTAATATGGAAAACCACAACCTTATTATAAACTCCCCAGTCCCAGAAAGAAAAAACTTATGAGATACGAGGAGCCTTCCAATGGTAAGCATTTAGATATTTGGCTGTAGTTTTTAAACATATTTTCCTTTAGTAAATACAATTAAATAACAAAATTAAAAATATATTTGACATGATCTGCCTTTGGTATCACATAATCACTAGGAATTAGAAAATTCTTACTCAAAAATATAAGATAGTCTCAACCAGTAAAACAAAGACTCATAACAAATTGGATAATTAACAATTTAGTCTTATCTCTCTGAATTACTTTCCGATTCTCCTTTGAATTCTCCCAGAACAGATATTATCATTTTTATGGCATAAATGCTACTGCAGGGAGAAGTTCTGGCCATGCATCAGAACTATTACAGTTCTTGGTGAAAGTGCAGGTTTCTGGGCCCCCACCCCTGAGAGCCCAGTCAGTAAGTATGAAAAGCAGCCCAGGATCTGTTTTTTGTGTGTTTTGTTTTGTTAATCCTCACCTGAGGATATTTTTCCATTGATTTTTTTAGGGAGAGTGGAAGAGAGAGGGAACCATCGATGTGAGAGAAACACATCAATTGGTTTTTTCCTGCATGCGCCCTGACCAGGGCCCTGGCTGGGGAGGACCTTGCAACCAAGGTACATGCCTTTGCCCGGAGTCAAACCCGGAACCCTTTGGTCCGCAGGCTGATGCTCTATCCACTGAGCCAAACCAGCTAGGGCCAGAATCTGTCCTTAACAACCTGCCCACCCACCCCGCCCTATGAAATCAATGATTCTGACGCAGCTGCTCTGGGTCCCCATGTCTGGGCGCTGTATCAGTCATAGGCTCTTAAAAACACTCAAGGCACTTCACTACACATACACTTTTCTTCCTGGTCACTCTGCCTTATAAGTTTTTCCACTTGGCTTTTCATTACCTAAAAGACTGTAGTGTTATCTCGAAACTTGGGACATATTTCTGTGCTTTCCTTCCCCTGAGCCTGTAATAATGATTGTGATGGAAACAGAAAAGCTCCACCCTGGAGAGGGCTGGTGCATCCTAATGACCATCTGCAGTTCTAAACACGTTCTCTGGCGAGACACAAGTGTTCCCCTCTGTCTAATCAATGGCTCCTTTTAATTGTTTGGTTTGGAACTTTCTCAACTGATTTTTAAAAAAGGAAGTATAACTAGACTATATCCACAACTTTTCCACAAGCCTATGTACCCTTAAATAAAATTGATAAAGGGAAGATTAACTACCTCCCATGGAATGCAAGTAGTAGTGATACATGCAAATCAAAGTGAATTCAAGACCAAGTTCAAAGACACTTCCTGCATAAAGCTGTCCCTGATGCAATCTGTCCTCCCCTGTGCCCTGCCCACTCCTGAGTGTGATATCTCCCTCTGGAACTCTCAGTGCCACTCTGATGGCAGTTGTCCGATTCTGCCTTATATTCCAGTTTCATGCCTCTCTCCGCTACGAAAGCTTGACTTTCTAAAAGTACAGACCATGACCTTGAATGAAAGGGAGGGCCCAGGAATGAAAAAGAAAGCCGGTGCCTGATTTACACATCCCCTATAAGCCTTTTCTTCTTTTTCAACAGACCCACAGAGATTCTGTGAGGTTTCATGGCTCTTTTGTCCTCTATCCCAGCTACTTCCAACTTGGTTGTTCAAAAACTGTTGCAATTTAGCCATTTCTGTCATTGACTTTTATGAGGTAAACACTGTCAGCCTCCACCCCTCAAGGCCACCTCTTTCCAAGCATTTTCTGTAGGTTAGTGTCTTGACCCAGAGCTTGTGAGCTGCCCTGGAGAGAGGCTCAGGTACCTCATCCTGCAGGAGAGTCTTACTGTACTCCAGATGGTGCCTCTCCAAAATAGAAGATCCATGAAGCTTTGCCAATGGAGACGTGGATCTAGAAGGAGAGGGATATGCCATGATTTTAGCTGTTTAAAGATTATGCATATGTCCATACAATATAGAATCTTTACTATCTGAGGATTTTTTTCATTTCCTCTCTCTCCCTCTCCCCTAATGCCCGTGAAATGGTCAAAAGTTATATATTGAAAAAGATGTTTTAGATTTAGATGAGAATATGCTCTTTAAAACAATTTCTTAAAAAAAACACCACACAACACCCTGATTTATTGAATGCATAAAATGATTGAACTGTTTAAACTCAGAAGTCTGGTCCTTCCTCTGCATCTAAAATCTTTGTCCCCAGAGTTTATGGTGGTTGAATATGACTTATAGAGCATGTAGCAAACCTGATAAAGCCTGTAACTCATTTATAGAGAAAGTGTTCATTAGGAATTGAGTATTCTTATAAATACAGCATTGAGAATATAGTCAATAATCTATACATGTGCGATACATATAAAGCTCTTGCTGGTGCCAATTGCACGCGTGTGTTTCAATCTGTCATTGTTGATTGTGAATTTGGTTGAGACCTCTATTATAGAGAAAGGGCGAATAGTGATATTAAAGTATTTCTTCTAATTAATTTCCTTTCAATGTGCACGAATCAGTGCACCAGGCCACTAGTGTTGTGATAAGTATGTATGGTTTCAGATAGGTACTAGACTTTTCAGGGTGACCACTTCCCAAGTAATATAAATGTCTAATCACTTTGTTGTACACCTGAAGCTATTTAATATTGTATGTCAACTGGAAATTTAAAAATTTAAACATTCTTTTTATATTTTGATTGATATTTTACAGAGAGGAAGGGAGAGGGATAGAGCGTTAGAAACATCGATGAGAGAGAAACATCGATTAGCTGCCTCCTGCACACTCCCCACTGGGGATGTGCCGCAACCAATGTACATGCCCTTGACTGGAATCGAACCTGGGACCCTTGAGTCCACAGGCTGATGCTCTATCCCAATGATGGCAAAGCTTTTGAGCTTGGCGTGTCAGCATTTTGAAAAACCCTAACTTAACTCTGGTGCCGTGTCACATATAGAAATTTTTTAATATTTGCAACCATAGTAAAACAAAGACTTATATTTTTGATAATTATTTTATATATTTAAATGCCATTTAACAAAGAAAAATCAACTAAAAAAATGAGTTCGCGTGTCACCTCTGACACGAGTATCATAGGTTTGCCATCACTGCTCTATCCGCTGAGCCAAACCAGTTAGGGCTTAAACATTTTTTAAGAAAGAGGAAGAAAAAGAATGTATAGGAACTAAAATGAAAATCACTATCAAGTAACACTTCTTCTCCATGACGGTGAGATAAATTTAAACTCAAAATTCCCATTTGCTAATACTTGGATCGTGCTTTATGTAAGTGGGGACTTCAGTCTTCGGTACCCTGTCTTTCTTCAGTTCTTCCTGTTGGAGGGAGGGAAAGTGACATCAAAAATAAAAAGATGAAAAAAGAAAAGATGGAGAGAGGCTGAAGTCACAGGTGTACCTTGATAATGTGGAAATGTTGTGATGGAAATATGGAATAAATAATTTTAAGAAAGGAAGACATCAGTAATATGGGCGGCAGCCTTCGTAGAGAAGTTTCATTTTGTTTCAGAAAGAACAGAACTTTAGGGAGGAGAGGGGTCATGAACAGGTTTGGTAAACCAAATATTCCAGTTAGGGGTCAGAATTTTTTAAAATATCTTTTCGTTGAATTTTTAGAGAGGAATAGAGAGATGGAAACATCAATGAGAGAGAAACATTGACCGGCTGTCTCCTGCATGGCCCCCACTGAGGATTGAGCCCCTAACCGGGGCATTTGACCTGACTGGTAATCGAACCGGTGACCCCTTGATTCATGGGTTGATGCTCAAACACTGAGCCACACTGGCTGGGCAGGGATCAGAATTTTAACTCACATTCAAATGCCTACTCTGTGTCAGCACTGGAGATTTTACAAAGATGAATAAAGCTCAATTCCAGTGGGAAAGAGTGATTATCTTTAATTCCTTTGGGTTTAAAAACGTCAGTCAAAAAAGGTTACAGAGGAACTAAATATTCACCCAGTCTCAAAGTAACACCTCAGATTATTTATTAATACAAAGGAGAAAATGTACCTTTGCATAAAGAGATCAGCTAGACATTATTCATAAACAGATAATGGGACAAATTAATATCATAGGTCCCTTGGTGCAAGGCACTGAGAAGTACACAATGTCTATGTAGAATTCCTACCCAAAACGTTTCCCCTGAATCTAGTAACCTGGAAACAATCAGACAAAGCCAAATAGAGGCATATTCTGCAAAACAACTGGCCTAGACTCTTCAAAAACATCAACATCCTGAAAGACATGCAAGGTTGAGGAATGACTCCAGATTAAAGGAGATTAAAGATATGACAACTAAACCTGGTATCAGGTGATTTTCATTTCTTCTCCCCTTAGACAACCTCAAACGTCACAAGTACCTGTCGACACTGCACATGTGTTCACTTACTTCATCTGATACAGATTATTAGTGCCTCTGTGGTCAATGTCATGGCAGAAAGCAGCAGCGAGCATGGCAAAAGCTTCAAGGTCTGTATAGTATTTCTTTAGCCTTCCTGTCTAAAAAAATATATACATATATATATTTACTTGGATTAATACACCTCTATAGCATGTGCTGTGAGGCCTGCCTGCAATGAAGGAGATATGCTGTACTTTTAGAGCAAGTTGTTTTTATTTCTTATTGAGTATTGTAGCTAATTCTGGGCAATTACAAACCCCAGCAGGATGGGAAGGGGTTGGAGGGATGGGTAAAAAAAATAAAGGGATGAAGACGTACAAATTGCCAGATACAAACCAGTCACAGGGATGTAATGTACAGCATAGGGAATGTAGTCAATATTGCAATCACTCTGTGAGGCACATACATGTCTATATTCATTTCAGGTGTAATGTGTGCACCTAAAACTAACATAATACTGTATGTTAACTGTAATTAAAACAAAATTTAAAAAACAACCACAACCAAAGGACTTGTATGCATGCATATTAGCATAACCAATGGACACAGACACTGGGGCAGTGGGGGCTTGCCCAAGGTAGGAATGGCTGGCGGCGGGGGTGGGGGGTTGTCAAGTGGGGGAAAAGGAGACATATGTAAAACTTTAGACAATAAATTTAAAAAAATAAAACAAAAATCCAACCAGCCAGCAGGTAACTGAAATTTCCTTCGAGGAGGTACGTGATTGTCCTCAATAAGTTTAAGGTTTCTCTTTTTTTTTTTTTAAATATATTTTATTGATTTTTTTACAGAGAGGAAGGGAGAGGGATAGAGAGCTAGAAACATCGACGAGAGAGAAACATCGATCAGCCGCCTCCTGCACATCTACTGTGGATGTGCCCGCAACCCAGGCACATGCCCTTGACCGGAATCGAACCTGGGACCCTTCAGTCCGCAGGCCGACGCTCTATCCACCGAGCCAAACCGGTTTCGGCAAGGTTTCTCTTAAGAGTGACAATCCAGCCAAGTGCCCAGGCATCCCCATATTGTCTGGCATCATCTACAGGGGAGTTTGGGGCTTATGGGATTGTGCCTATGAATTCCAGAATTACTGATCTAGACTGATGGACTGTCTCCGGTTCTCGCTCGCCATGCTCAACAGGGAAATGTGCAGGTTTATGATTGACAGCGCTCTGGACCTACCATCAGCAAAGTGAACATGGTCTGCCCCACATTGAATCCGTGCCGCCAGTTGTGGTAAGTGACGGAACGATACCCCTTTCTCACGGTGTACATCCATCTGGTAAGAACCTGTCACCCACAGAAGATAACACCATTCAGACTTTGGAACAGAATGCTAAAGGTTGGAAGGTCTGTGACAATCTTATCGATTGGTCTTGTTTACAGAGGTTAAGCTGATATATTTACAAAGTTAATAATAATTTAAAATTCAAACTGAAGTTAATCTTTTAAACCACAGGAAACATTAGTGAAGTACAGCAACAGAATCGCCCAGTATTTTACATTAAAGACCATCTACCTCTACGGGTACTTTGAATTTCTCCACCACATTTATTTCAAAAAATAGTCGTAGTCCACACTTAATCAGCCCGTGCTCTGTAATGGGGAAGTCACTGAAGTGGAATTCACACAGGTCTACTGCCTTCAGGTCTGGCAAGTCCTCTTCCTGTTTAAATAAGGACAAACTATGTCAGTTTGCATTCACACATCCAACATTGGGTGTGAAACAAATTACCATAAAAAGACACCAGCCACAATTTGCTGAGCCTTTATATGCCTGGCGCTGGGTGATGCAGTTTGCATGTGTTATCCTCACAACAAACCTGCACAATTTCACCCAGTTTACAGATGGTGAAACTGAGACTCAGCTATATCAAGAAACTTTCTAAGGGTGCGGGGGGGAGGGGAGATACACTTCCAATCATGTTCCAGTGGCTATTTTCTTTCTATGATGCAAAATGAAATGCTGGGTTGTAGCAGCTTCACCCATCTTCGATACTCAGCTTCTCTTTTTTTCCTTTTCAAGAAATATTCAGTAAGTGATTGTTTAATTCAATTCTATCACATTTTCTTTACATGCTCAGTGACGCTTTCCCATCAGACTGTGAGCTGCACCAGAGTGGGATCATGTCCCTTCTGTTTGTGTGGTGTCCCAGACCTGCAGTGCCTGTCCCATGAAGGGGTTTGGTAGATGTTTATTGAGTGAATGAATGAGGGCCCTGTAGTATATTGGTACACTTGCAGATATCTTATTCATAGGACTATGAATGAAGCACAAGAGTATTGACTTGGCTTGGGAAATTTAAAAAAGGACCTTACCCTTAAAGAACTTAACTTATTGAAATGGTTATAGAATGCAGACCAGGGAAAGGTGAGAGCTTAGAAAACGCACAGAGCATGGCTTCAAGTGCCTGGAACTGTGGGAGAAATTGATTGCCCGAGGGCAGGAGGAGGGAGGAATTAAAGGAGGAGATATTCTGGAGGGGTATTCAGCTGATTTGGTAGGAGAGGAAGCGCCAGGAGGCAGGAGTTAGAAAAGGCTATTAAGGTCTACCAGATAGATGCAGGGGAGCAATCAGTTCAGTGGGCATCTACTGAGTTCACTGAGCTTACTACTGTGTTGAGGTCCCTTCTCTCAATAATGGTACACAGATATTTTAGGTAAAAGTACGGTTTTTGGTCCTCTAGCCCCTGATCTGGGCTCATCCCTCACACCCTTTCCCTTCTCTCCTCTCCCTGGGGCTCCCTCCTCACCAATGCCATTCTCAGACCATCACTTTAGGCAGAGACTTTTTCCTGCAAAGCAATGGCTTGGGCCAGGAGACTAATGTTCAGTTCTGGGTTTGGATTAGCATGTCTCCCAAATGGATCAAGTCTCAATGTTCTCACCTGTAAAATGGGAAGGATACTAATAATCTTTTCGTCTTTGTTTTTTTAATTAAAAAGTAATTTTGATTAAAAAGCAATTCTATTTGCATGAGTCCAAGAAAATTTGAGGGGATTCAATTCACAACTCATAGTAACACTTTACAAAATTCCTTTCTCCATTTCTCATAGGGCCCTCTGATACCCTTTGTTACTCATTCTCATCACTTTCTTTCTCTCTCCAAATGCTCCCAGATTCCTTGCCCAAAGAGGCTCTTCTTTTTCATTTATTCATCTATTATTCATTCAACAAACATTTGTTGGTTTCTGTTTTCTAGGCATTATGGAGAAAGCAATGAATAAAAATGTTGTCATTGCCCCTGAAACATGTTCTCATGAGCAGAACATTAGCACAGCTTATAAAAATCAGAGTAAGAGAGCCCCAGCCAGATGAGTCTGGTTGGTTGGAGTGTCATCCCATACAACAAAAGGTTTCGGGTTCGATTCCCAGTCAGGGCACATATCTAGGTTGTGGGTTGGAACCCTGGTTGGGGCACATACAGAAGGCAACCGATCAATATTTCTCACATCACTGTTTCTCTCTCTCTCTCTCTCTCTCTCTCTCTCTCTCTCTCTCTCTCTTTCTCTCTTTCTCTCTCCCTTCCTTTTCCTCTAAAAATCAATAAAAATATATCCTCAAGTGAGGATTTTTAAAAAATCAGAGCAAGAGAAGGGTTATGGGAGAGAGTTATGGGCAGTGGTAGGAGCGCCCTGTGCCACAGAGCCTCCTTGCTGGAGGTCGTTGCTCCTGTACAGTTCCCAGAGTGTTACGTAAAGAGAAAATGTGAAATTGTTTTTTCATGCATTTCAGGGTCAGTGATACTTAAATGTGAATGTGTATTTTAGCAGGAAACAAAGTAAGTTCTCAGAATTGTGATTCCCAGGTGCAGTTGAAAAAGAACCAGTAAAATAACACTTTAATGCAGAAATCACAGGTTTTGAAGAACAACCATTTGTAAGTCTGTGATACAGAGAGGTTGATGAAAATAAAAGTTTTTGATTGGTCTGAGAAGTAGGAAGCCTGGCACCCAAGGCCGATGTTCTGCTGTTTGCAGGAATCACACAGCTGAGGTGCGTCCTGCCAGGCCTCCTGGGCTGCTCCTCCCCTCTGCTCACTGGGGCGCTGGCCACAGCAGCTCTCTTTGGTTTCCCTCAGATAGCAAGCTATCCCTGTATCTCCAGGCCCTGGTCTGTATGCCCTGCTTCCTCTTCTCATCTCCAGCCATCGCCAAGCCCCCATCATCAATCGCTGCCCAGCCCACAACTGCTTTCTCTTCACACCTCAGGGCCATGGCTGTCATCTCCTATTCTACCACCTTCTGTGAGTAGAAGCAGGCCCTTGGCTTCTGAGGGCCCTTGGTGATTCCACTCTGTGAACTTGTCCACACAGGGCAAGGTCAGTGTCATTGCTTATATTTTGGTCTCCCTATTAAACAGGGTGCTTCTTGAACCAGATAAGAACCAGACCATACTATCTTCTGCTCTCAGGACCTTACAGAGTTCTTTGTACTACAGTGCATCTCAATGGGAAAAAACTTAAATAAAAGATGAATGGGTGAGGTATTTCTCTGGGGCCTTCTCTCCAGATGGTGTATCTATCAGTGATCTGAAATATTCTGGAAGCAAGACAAAGGTGGGAGGAGGACTTCCCTCATTTCCTTTGTCTGAGTCAGTGCACAGCTGCCTCAGTCCTTCCCAGCACAGTGACATGCACCTGCTGCTACACCTATAAAATAGACCTGGCTTTCCCTGAACCTAGAATTAAAGTGCACACCTGGAGAAAGAATCGTGGTGAGGACAGATACATGAATAATTATGTAGCTAAGAAATTATGCCAAGATAATTTTGAAGAATTCCTCTGAAATACTTGTTTGTTTCTTGAGTTCCTAAGTTTTACGCAGCAATGATTTGGGCCAAACTTAGAGCAGATTTCCATTAAAATAGGGTGTGTGTTGGTAAAGCTACTGGTTCTTTATCCATTTTATTGCTTCTCCAACATAAGGTCCTCCCTCCTCTAAATAGACAACTAGAGAATTTCTAAAGTGTCATGATGTCAATCAGAATTTTATTTTACAAGAAGATGCATGTTGTTGAGGGCAGGCAAGGAGAAGGAAGGGTTATCTTCTGGGCCAAGTGTGAGAAGAAAGTGTTTAGAGGTCAAAACAAGAAGAGTGGGATCCTCAGATGACACAAAATTATGCAGGGTGGGAATGGAGCCCTCAAACAGAGGTCAAAGGCCACTGGCTCTGTGGTGGCAGAGGACAGGAAGACACGCCTTATCAAAGATGGCAAGGGGGAAGGTGAGGTAGTCAATATGTCTCAGTTTAGAAAGCAGAACACTTACATCATGGATTGCAAAAGGACAGAGGAAAACAGGATGAGGTAGTTAGTTAGGAAATAGATATGATACTATTTCAATTTCATTCAAATTTTTAAAGTTCCAGGCCTAGGAGGCTTGGCTTTCAGTTGGGATCCCAGAAGGGCCTCACTCTAGAAATAAGGCCTCTACCCTCATAGTAAGGGCAAAACTGAAATAAATCATCTATAACAAAATCTAAAATCAACTTTATTTACCTGTCAGAAGAAAATCTAGTGCTGCAGAAAGATAATGCCACCCAGAGGCCCTACAAGTTTTCATTCACAATGTCCAGTTTTCAATGAAAAAGAACTATGAAGCATGTTTTAAAATAATCAAATGACTGAAACCCAAGAGCAAAACTAGACAGTAGAATCAGACCTATAGGTGATTCAGGTATTGAGATGGAAATTTTAAAATAAATGTGGTCAATAAATTCAAGAAAATAGAGGGAAAGATACACAAAGTAGATAAAATGATGAAAAGTTTTAACAAAGAGTTGGAATCTTTAAAAAAATTAAATGTACATTCTAGAACTGAAAAAGATTAACTCTGGAATTAAAAAATTATTGGATGAATCTAACTGTAAATTGTAGAAAATGAGTTTAGGTATGTTTAATAGGATGCAACAAAATACAGGATGAATTAACTGGAAAAGGAATTAATTTCAACCAGAAATAATAGAGATGGTTTAATGACAATGAAAAAAGAACTGAGTTCCTCCAGGCTCCAAAAGAGAAGCTAGCGATGGCGATAATTGTGCCTGATATATTGTTCCTAGAAGGTTCATATGTTCTGTGATCCCATCATGTCTTCTGGGGTGGCCATGGTGAGATCCAAAACTATTAAAATAAATCAGACCAGGACATCTCTAGAATCTGTGCCTCAAGTTCCTTATGCCATAGTCTAGTTTAGCTGTGATTCTAAATTATCTGTGTGGATCGGACT